AAAACCGTACCGTAATAATTTTAGATAAGTGGAACTTGACGACATTTGCCGTAAACACGACATTTTAATTTTCCTACTTGTGAAGGTTGGATCGTTTATTATAAAACGATCGATTATAATGAAAAAAGACAATAACACCATAACTGTAGTTATAATTGTGATTGTTGAGATAATGTAAATAATTGCGATGTTTTAAATGCTTTCTACTACAGTTTATACTACGAAATAATCGATACTTGATTTATAGCTGATGCTCTTGTCTTTGTCCGCGCGGAAATAATCTTTGGATGGATGTTTGTTAGAGTTTGTAGCCTACGGCTGAACGGATCTGGATGAAATTTGGCATAGCTGTAGAGCATAGTCTGGAAGAACACATGGGCTATTTACTTTTTTTTTAATTCCGCTCCAACGAAGTCGCGGGCAAAAGCTAGTATGTTACTCAGCGATAACGCTATTTATTGGTGAAAGTATTGAAATTGGTCTAGTAGTTTTTGAGTTATTTCAATAAATAAAAAATTAATAATGGAACTAGAAAGCGATGAATGGATTGCGTGAAAGGTGACATGATCAGGCAGGGAGTGTTGACTGAGATGACGGATGATAGAGTTATTTGGAGGACGAAAACCCGGTATGCCGACACTATGAGCGTAGGATAAGGTAGGGGAGATGATGTATGCTTGCCATTCACGTAAAAACTACTGGACTGATTTCAAAAACTCTTTCACCATTAGATAGGTAATTTATTTATGAGTAACATAGGATTTTTTTCTTTTTTATATCACGCGGACAAAGTCGCAAGCAACAGCTAGTAAAGAATATTATAGAGATAAGCATCAAGGCCTATAAGATCTAAAGCTCATAAGGCGTTGGTTATCCATTCTATGTATTAGGTAGTTAGAAGTATAAGTAACTGTTGCAGGGCAATGGCGATGTGCCTGATGTACATGGTGGGGCGCGCGGGCGCGGCTGTGGGCTCCAACCTGCTGGGCGCCACGCTCGACCTCCACTGCCAGCTCGCATTCACCTTCCTTGGAATCTTTGCTATGTGTAAGTTGTGTTCAATTGTACAAATAAGCGGACACCATTACTAGCGCCCTGTCGATATTTATACGGCAACCCTTTTTTATTGATCATAATCATCAGCCTATATCTGCATATTAAATAAACATTTAGTCAACTCAAAAACATGTTGCAACATACACACAATCACACTAAGGACAAGAAAAAATATATAATACAGAGAAAAAAATACACTAGACATAAACATTCTAAGCGCTACAATGCAGAAGTGATAGGGCCTCTGCTCAGCTATATCTATAATTCGCTGATTTTGCGCCTCCCACCCAGGTCCAGGGCGCCCTGGGCGGTCATCCAACCAAACAGTCAATGAGAGATGCATTTTTAATTCTCTCTTTCTTATCCTGTGTTAAAATGTATCGCACGTAAATAAAAATGAAATTGCACAAAATTTCTTTTTATAGATGGCGCTTTTAATTTGTAATATGTTTTTTTCTGTTTTTTTTTCAGGCTCAACTATACTAATGTGCTTTTGGCCAAACCCGGAAGAAGTTCGTCGCAAAATGGAAGAAAAGGGTCTAAGTTACTAGGAAATTCGTGTAAACGAGACTGATCGGTTAAAGAATAAATGTAAATGTTTACACTAGTTCTTAATGTATGCTGCATGTATGATTAAATACTACATTTTTATTCCTTTTAATTGTAGTTTTATTAAAAAACCTAACATACTTCTGTATTTAATGTTCTGTAACGGAGTTTTTAATTTCTACTACCACATAAAAGTATGATATTTGATATTTGTTACAGCGCCATCTTTTGCATTGTATAAAAACTTCAATCGACTTTCGCCGTTAAAGTACTAATACGTCAATAGATGTCTCTGCAACTACGAATTCAGTTAATGTATGTTGCGTACACATATAATTTATTAAAACAGTGATATTTTTAGCAAGTATTTGGTGAAATGAAAAGAATTTTGTTACCTGTCAAATATAGTATAATAATGATTTATTACTAGAAAAAAATATTTTTGGAGTAAAAACGAAATATAGGCTGCCAAGGTGTTTTTAACTTAAAAATATCTACTAATCCAACATGTGTCTCTTTGTTAAAATTACAATTGCACAAAAACCATCCCTAAGGGTGTCAAAAGGGTTAGTAGGTGACAAATGTCCTTGTCATTATATTTCCATCAACTTAATGTCCTTCCAATTGTGATACGCGATATAATCCCGTTAAATGTATCCACAGGAATACGTAACAAAAACAAATTGCTATCCCACTTATTTACCTTGGAAAAACTGAGATAGAAATATCGGCATTTCAGTCAGTGGAGACGCACTCTTAAGTCTTGTTAGAAAAAGGGGTTAACGGTTACTTATTATTGTCACTTTTATTACTATCAAATTATAAGTTGTCGTGTCTACGTTCCAACTTCTATGATTAAAAAGATCTCGTATCTCTCGAATCCATAACTCTATACTATTCCAGTGGTTTGATTGACTGGCTTATTGACTGACGAACAAACAGACTTGTACATATTTTTATTTAAAACTGTCATGTAGAGAATTTATGACCAAACAATTGTTGCGTTTCTTTTATTGACAGACGATTAGTGCTTTAACTAAATTGCATATCGATGGCTCCTACATAGACTATCGTAACACACAATTTTATAATTCATACTTTGTTTTGTATTTCTTAAATATACCTAATAAATATTAATTTCTGTGTAAAAGTAACGTTAGAAATACGAACTATAGATTGTAGTTGTCTATAGAATATTCATATTTGATCCATAAATAAATCGTATTATTGTTTAAAGTTATGCCAGGTATGCATTTCAAACATACATACTTAGAAGCAATTGAAATGTGTATAATTTCTTACAATTAGCCGGCGTTATTTAAATTTTGTCTCATCATAAAATTCACTACATCCCGATTACTGAATGATAAAAAAGCTTTGAAAGTGTTCGTGATAAATATTTTATGACAAAATAATAGCGGTCCCTCAGTATGTTAGAAGAAAAGGGCAAATTGTTAGAAAAAAAATCAAGATTCGAAGTCAGGTAGACTGGAGAAGAGGTTCCGAGCCGTCAGCATTTATTAACTTAGACAATGATACTTTTAAATTCGTATTTGAACTACGTTAGTCTTTGAAAGAAAATGTTTTTAAAAAAGAAAAATAATTTTCAGTAAAACTGCCAGTAATAATAATAGTACTGGATCATTCTAGAGTAAGAAATAAATAGGCTGTTTAGACGCATTCTTTCATTTGATTTCATAAAACAATCTTACAAACAGTCTATTCTAGATTAAATTTACGTATAAGTTACTTTTAAACAAATGTTTTAAAGCCATTAAAATATTAGAGACTACAAAACCGTTTACAGTTTTACCCCATTTGGCTGACATCAGTAGCGTAATTATAATTACACATACTGACCGCACGACATTAACCTTGTGCGGTGGTACACCCCATCCGTATTACGGGGTCCTATTCCCAAAAATTAACGAGAAAAATAATACGTAAGAGTGCTTAGAGTTTAGAAAGAGATGCAGTGTAAATTGCGAACATTCCTTTTTAAATGTTGCTAAAAAATGATCATAGAATCAAAATACTATGAAGAGCCACATATAGGCATAAAACAAAATAAAACATTTTTTAAATGTATGGACAGTAAACGACAAGCGATACTTGTTACAAAAAATTCTAAATTGTTCAATTTAAGTTACAAAATATGATATGAAAATACATAAAAATAATGAATGTAATTAACGTATTATTCAGATTGTCAACGTGTGACAATTTTCAGAATAGTTCCCTTCACCCGATGCGCAGTACGTTGGGGTGCAATATGGCGACCTTGTCCTTTCATAATAAGACACTTTACTATTAATATCCACACGTTAATTAATTATACCAACATCTGCCCGAATATCATAAATGTATTGAACCTATGAAAAGTCCAATTAAATAGCAAATAATTCCTAGACTTTCTTTATTTTTATTCTGGAATATATTAAAATTAAATTGAACCAGGTGTTACAAATTTTATTTTCAACTGTAATGCGCATCGTTTTATACACGTACCAGTGTTGATTGAATTAAATATTCACATTTAAATAGAACATTAGTTACTTTGTAACTGATTTGTCACTGTTTGCCTTGAAGAGGCATTTACAGCTCCTCCTGGTTTGAGGTGTCCGAACGCGGATGGCGCTCAGTCTAAACCTCGTTTATGAGTAACTAGCTGTTCCCGTGCGACTTCATGCGCATAAAATTATTTTATTGTTTACATGTGTCAAATTTTCAATTGCAAATGTCAAAATGACATGACATTACAAAACTTGGCAAGCTTGCTTCCTTGATGTTGGCAGCAACTTATGGTCTCTTTCCTACACATTAGGTTTTTTATCCAAAATGTTTACTCCCTATGTTTAATGGCGTGAAAATATATAGCCTGTACTTGCTGACATCTTAGGCAACAAAGAAGTGCGTGTTTACGCTTTATTATAGTAGTATAAATAGAATACAGTTATCTTTGACAGCTTTTATAGTACAAAAGGTCAAACAAATACACAATAACGGCCGCTTCCCAAACGCATTTGCAGATTCATTGCTTACCTTTAAAATGTAATTCAGCCAGAATCACAGTAATCGTAATATTTTAATGCATTTCTGATATAAACTACGTCACAAAACATGTATAAAAACAATACCACGTGACGCTCAGGTGGCATGACACGTGGTAACCGATATACCATATGCCACAGATCCGCTCGCGCTATACAATTCCGGTACACCTGAAACTAAGAGATCGTATAAAAACTAACAGTTTATAAACACTAGCTGTCGCTCGCAACTTTGTTCATACGAAATTTAAAAATACAACCTATGGTACTCTGCGACAACGTAGCTTTATAATGGTAAAATAATTTTTAAAATCGGCCCAGTAGTTTTTGAGTTATTTCAATACATACAAATCTTTTCTCTTCATAATTGTTGTGTCATCTCACTTTTTACCTCTAAAAACAATAACAATTAGATTCTCGAAGCTTACAGTCTCCTTGTAACAGAATAACTTAGTTTTTCTAATCGCAGTTTTTATAATGTGAATTAAAACATGCTCAATTAAATCGTCTTTTTGTAGTTACTACGTTTGCCGGCAACTTCTTTCGGTGTTATAAAAACTTAGTTTTACATATAAGTAGCGTATGTATTCTTCCAGACTATGTTTTATATCTGTGTTTAATTTCATCTAGATCTTTCGTATTACAACTAATATAGGTTTGAATTATAAGTTACGAGCTGTTGCCCGCGACATCGTCCGCGTAGTATTAGAAAACATACAAACTATATAAATTACAAAAAGTTACGTATCCCTCGGGAACCGGACATTTCTCGGGGATGAAGC